AGACTTAGTCGTCTTTGTGCTTCGTTTGTGCGTTTGTGCTGGGGGATCGACGAGGGAAGCGTCTCCTCCAAGCGGCGCTTCCTGCACAAGCAGCAAAGCGGGTTGAAGCTCTAAATTGAGTGACGTCGAAGCTTAGGGGGCAGGCCTTGGACCAGTGGCAGCACCCTAGGTCGGTCAGGTAGCAGGGGGAGAGGGGCAGGGAGGGCAAGATTGGCAAAGTAAACGGGCTAGAGAGAGTTAGGAGGAGGGGGGATGGCTGGTATTCTCACTGTTCTGTACTCCGTAGTGGTCTGGGTGAAACGGTGGTGTGTGCTTGCGTGCGTGTATGCTAGAGGGTGCTCTGGTGTCGGGGACAGGCTGCTGGCTGGTTGCTGGAAGTTGAGCGGATGGCGTGGATTTGCTTGCTCAGCCAGGACAGGCAAGTGATGGTGGGATGGCGGTGCGTGTGGGGAAGCGGCGAATGTGGTGTCGGATGGTCGGTCGGTCGGCGTGCGTTTGAGAGGCCTATAATAGCTTCTTGCGGTCTCTCGGTGGGTGCATCTGCAGGGAAAGGGGCAATGCCCGACGTCAAACGGAGGCAGATAGATGGCACGACGGGTTCCAAGCTGGATCTTAGATAGGGGCCTTGAGTTGCCCAGGCAGGCAGGCAGGCAGGCAGGCAGGCTGGAATGCTTGACAAGCCCACAAGCTGCTATCTCTGTGATGTCGTGGTGAATGTATTTGATGGCTCTGTGTGGGTAGTGGTGGGTTCCCGTGGGTTTGCTGATGTAGGTATTGCACTCGTATACTAGCTCCGTGGAAGGGTGAATGGGAGGAGACAGGCAGATCAAGAAGGTTTGGTGTCGACGCAAGGATCGTGATGTTGATGGAGAAGAGTTCAAGTGTGTGTCTGCCAAGTTGAACGGCAATGGAAAGACTGGAGACCAGAGGAGGCTTGTTTGATGGAGCCGGGGAAGGAACGCAGTTCACAACTTGCTCCTTCTGCTCCTGAGTTCTGCCTGTGCCTGTCTGTTCGCTCCTTCCCTCGTCCTCGCTCTCGTTCTTGCCGTTCGTACTCTTCCTTGCAACGGCATCTGCACCTCCCTGCACCTCTGACCTGCACTAGATATTGTTGAATGGCCTACCTACGTGAAGGAAGGGAAGGGGCCACCACGAGTCCGCGACTATCTTGAAGTAAGAGACAGCTTGGAGGTCCCAAGTACCTATGCCAAGTTCAGCATGGAAGGTTGGCGCGGAGGCTACGGCAGCTTCCACACCCTCAGCACCTTCGTCGGCCACGATTCCACGACCCCGGCTGCCCACCCAGCGCGAGCTCACAGACACAACACCCAATCACGGAAGGCATGGCCTCAGCGTTGCTTCCAGCAAAGACACTTTGGCGGCATTGCGCACGGGTACGTATCCTTCTTAGCGCAGTCCCTAGTGCTGGACGTGCTGGGCTAGCGCTTGTAGCCACTTAACGGCCGGGATTTGAACCAGCCAGACCCCCGCTTGTCGACGTCACCCAATCGAATGATTTGCGGGGTAATCAAACCAGCCGCCAGAGGTGGGAAAGAGCGACGCGACGTTTGACTCTCACCTGCACTTGCACTTGTACTTGCACTTGCACTTGCACCTACTACCCAGACTTCCATGCACTTGCTAGTTGAACCTGTCTCTGCTGTGGAAGTCACTCTGTTCGTTTGCGCCTGCTCTTGGTATTTTCGTACTCTGTACTCCGTACCAACCCTACAGATGGGAGGAAGGAGCTGGGCTGCAGATGGAAGGATTTTAGCAAGGACCCAACACGGGAAAGAAGGGGTCCTCTTCACGTTCTCCGGGTCGCTGTTCTCTGTCTCTGATTAACTGTTTCTGTCTCCCACCTGTCTCTCCCCCAGTCATCTCATTCGTTATGCTGATCTTCTTGGGAGTCATTGGGCCGTAATTAATCGTCGTTTCCTATCCTCATTTTATGTCTTCCCTCTTTGCCATCACTGCACATCTTCTGCTCTCTCTCTCTCTCCTGCCTGTCCCCCTTGCCCCCTTCCCCCTCAGTCTTGCATCAGAACCGACCATCTGCGGTACGTACCCCCCACCCCCCCTTCAACACCCACACACCACAACCACCACCGCCAAACACTTGTGAATGCAAAGATTCCCACACAACTCAGCATCTGCAGACTCAGAGACATTCATCCACCTCGCCCGCTGCCCACCACGCATATGGTTGCACTCAGTGTATACCAAACTCAATGCAGCCTGCCGTCTGGGTCACCAAGCACACGCGCGAACAATAGACAGACGTCCCATCTCGCGTGCCATCGCATGCCTGCTCTCGCCACTTTGGACCGTCAATTGACCACCATGGGGCCATCTGCAAGCACCATCATCTGCCCATGTTTCTGCCACCTCAAACATCTCGAGCTTCGAAAAACGAACTCTGACTTCAGGTCAGATGGAAAAGGCCAAGATCTCGCTGCACTTTCCCCACCTTGTACGGAAACCAAAGTTTTGTCAGCGGGAGCCGTACCTACTCTTCCAGTCTGCCAACCATTACCACAGACCTGTTGTTACTTGACAAGCTCAAAGTCTATGGGTACTCTCCTCCTCTGAACCCAAGACCCTGAGGGTCTAAGCTGCTTTCCAAAGCTTCCCGATGCAAAAGTTGCTAAACACAGCCAAATTGGGAACAAATAGGATGCCGCTCAACTCTTCTTCTTCTTATGATTCCTATATCATACTTTTCTAAGCTTGTTCTATATTGTATATGTCAGACACGGGAAGTCGTAAAAATGACAGTAGTAGGAATAGTCGAAACAGAGCCAAGGCACTTTGTGTTGAGCGGCAGACTAGGTATTCTGTTACCCACTTCGGCCACATCGAAATCTCCAATTCCCTCCTCTTCTGACCAGATTCTCAACTCAACTTGCCAGCCCTCGCTCGGATCGCTGCGACCAACACGAGCGGCCGTCGTGTCACCATCCGGTCCTTCTTCAGTCACGTTGGGTGTGCTGCACATGGACTATTGGCACCTGGGCTACCTTAGCTCGACATATTGGAGTTCGACGCCTCCTCCTTTTCTACCTTTGACAGCGCCCACTTGGCATGCAGACGGGCCCTAGCAAGTGCTGCCCGGGATAGACAAACCATCCGTCAGCGACATGCACACTGCTCCAATAGCCCTTCGCTGCTTGGACTAGGATGCATTCCAGGCGGCACGCAGGATCTCAGCGACGAGAGATTGGCGAAGCAGCCTGGCCTCTCAGCCGCTGGAGACAGGGACGTGGGTAGCGGGGGTTAGTTGGATGGATGGCGAACAGTACGGATACAAAGTCTTCTTCAACTCATCGATGCACCTTACCGGCTACTCGAGTCAATAAAGTGCCCGAAGCAACGAAGCAAAGAGGGGAACATATTTCTTTCGACGCAACTTCACGACTCGCCGAATTTCCTCCATGCACGCTTATATCCCATGTCGAAACTCGACGAAGAACTCTGGCACCGCACCTGGTATATCGTGGCACATATTGGAACGTTTATCTCCTCTCTCTTCTGACGATGCTCTAGATCCCACCCCTCCCGAACCCGTCATCCCTCCCCAAGCCAACCAGAACACCGCCGACCTCCCCGAACCCTGGTCTGACCAACCCTTCTGTTCAACAACTTCCCCAGACTATCCACATCCGCAGCTCCCTTCCTGACTCGTTACTGGGATTCCCATCCGTCTTCGCCTTCGACAACGCTCGACTTGGTCTGTTTCCCCGCAAATTCCGGGTCTCAACACCAGCGGGCCCTATTTCGCACGCGGATTTGGTCCTTGGCCAGATAGAACCCCGGCCTGCCAGATTAGCCCTCCCGCTAGTAACACGACAACCGTGAACCGTTCTCTGGCCACGCAGCTGCTTATCTTGGCAGCCAGCCCGTCCAGCGCAGTCTGCCCGGATTTTGCGGCCGTCCCACATAAGGCATGCGTCTTATTGTGTCACGAGAAAGCTTAATGGCAAGAGGCTTGCTCCATTGGCGACAGCCATGTTGGGTCAATTCCAATACTTCTCATAGATAACACAGCAGCGGCCAGAGATTGCCACCTCCTCCGCCCGTTCGCTATTGCAAAGCACCTGGCAGGCTAGCACTGCAGGTCGCTTCCCGGAGGTCCGGCTCCGCGCCGCGGTAGAGCTCCCGGTGGACCCTGAGCTCGCGGTACAGCATATGAACCCAGCCAGCAACATGTGCAACAACGGTCACGCGCCGCATCTTCTCCAACTCCCTGTAGGTTCTGTTACCCCGCCTTGTTTGAATCAAATTCCGAGGTGGTGGGCGAGAATTCAGTCGCAGGCCAATCTCGATCCTCTCTTATCTCTTGCTCAACTCGGGCTTTCCCTGTCAGCAAGCATTAGGCTAGTGATGAGGGTGACGAAATGATTGTCACCGAGGGTCATGTCAAGCGGTTGCGTAAACCCCGCTAGGCTTTCAAGGGAGGTGAAGCCATAGAGGATGCCCAATCATTGCCTTGTGCGAGCACGTTCGTTCCATCAAAGTAGACCGTTGTCTGTGGTGTTATCTTCCAGAGGGCTTTAGCTGAATCAAGCCAAGACTGAGCTATGACAGGGTTGCAAGATATCCAGATGCCGGTCAATCAAGCCAACTCTATTTCAATGGCGTTGTGAATATGAACGTTCTTGTTCTGAACCAAGTCATCCATCTTTGAAGATTTATTGCACGTTCAAACTCCCTTGGACCCGTATACTGAAGAAAATGTGTGATGACCGGTAAACGGGGTACGACAATGAGCGTTACATACTTGCCAATCTCGATGCCTGCCGGGCAGCGTTTCTACAACTTGCGATCAACGACTCAACTAAGTCCTCAGGTAGCAATATTGATGATGGGAAAGAATCAGTTTCTACGTCTCTTCCAACCCATGTAGTTGAGCTCGATGAAACCGGCTTTGAATCAGAACTCCCATTGCATGGTAGAAGATATTCTTTGACAACGAAACCGTCAATATCACACGTCGCCATCTAAGCAGTGCCGTCTTGAGCCATCAGATCCTTCATCGCTGCCAATCGATCTCCCTTGATCTGAGCGATCTCCTCGGCTTCCGCCTTCTGCAACTTGGTCATGTACTGTGTGAATGCGTTCCCAAGCTTGAGGACCTTATTGAAATGGCTCGCGTCCGGCTTGATGCCCTTGTCTTCCGCCAGTGCCAAAGCGCTCCTGACACAGTTGCGGTTTTGTCGGCCGTTGAGGGGCTGCGAAGCCCAAGATTTAGTCACTTCGCTGCCCAGTGCTTTACACTCTTCGCGCCAGAGGAGAGCTGGTGAGCCATCGCGGCGTTTGCGGCTGAGGTCTTGGATGAAGATCTTCCAGACTTCTTTGCGGAGGGATTCGTCGAATTGTGGCATGCCAATTGTGATGTGGATTCGGGACTGAAAGGCTTGGTCGAAGGCACCGACCCGATTGCTAGTTAGAAACATGATGCCACTGAAATACTCTAAAGTACGGAGGAAGACTGGATTAAAGGTCAGTAGTTGTTCAGACTACTACATTCTGACACGTTGGAAGTCTCGAGGGCTTACTAGATACCAGCGCATTCCTGTGCAGGTTGTTGTAGTCTCGGTTCTGTAGAAAGATGTCTGCTTCGTCTAGCAGCAGTATGGCATCCCATGCCACAGCATGATCAAAAATACTTGACAGCTTTGACTCGAGTGTCTCGGGATTTGTTCCGAGGTCTCCAGCAGTCACCATATAGAGCGGCTTTTTGAATGACTCTGCGACACACTCTTTGCGCGCCATGTCAGAACTGCCTCGGACTCTTTGCATGATAAACACATACCTGCAGTCAAGGTTTTACCAACGCCTGGAGGCCCATGGAGTAGAACAACTAAGCCTTCGCCTTTTCCCGCAACAAGGTCCTGGAACCCCGTATTGTGCGCTAGATAAGACTTGACCATGGCCCAGATGATTTCCTTGTACTCCGTTTTCAGCACGAGTCGCTTCCATGCATCTGCAGCAAATTGCACCGGCTTGAGGCTGGCAACATCGTACGGATCTTCTTATCAGTTAGTTATCATGAGGCGACAATATGGTGGTTGCGGGCACCTACCCCATGTTTTGCTACGAAGGCTGAAAGCAGTTATAGTGCGAGGACAGAGCATGAGGGCCAAATCGTCTGGCTCACTACTTGCTGGGATGTTGTCGTAGTTGCCAAACCAGCCATCTCTTACTGCTCGATCGTCAAATCCTGATCGCTGAGTTGAAGCGTGGGGTATGAAAGGGTTATACTTGAGTCTCCCCACTTACTGCTCTCTTCATCCTTCCAAATACTGGGTTGGGAAGCTTTAACACGAACATTTGTAGGCAAGGGCTGTGCTGGTTTCGGCATCTTGTTCGTAAATACTGCGTTAAGGGCTTTCGCATCCACTATCACTCTCAACTCGGAAAAAAAGGCTTGGCCATGCTTTAACATTGCCGAAAATTGTCGAAATCTAGAAGTCGTGTTCATGTCCCAGTAGTTCCGACCTCAAGAGAGTGCGTGGGTTCACATCATTGAGATCTTCCATAAACTTTTCCGGTACAAATCGCAATTTTGCAATTTCAGTTCCACCACGAAACCACTTCGCAGTGATGATTGAATGCTTTTTCCGGAAGGCACCAACCTTTGGGTCAAAAAGTATCGACCAACAGTGAATGTCAAGAAACTTTTTGTTTGGCTTCGGAGTGAAATCTTCGGGACCAAATCTTTCCCTTTCCCTGCGCGAAACCATGGTCGGGTAGTCAACCATGAAACAGACTGTATCCGGTCCCGCGATTCTCTCGAAGATGAGTTGACCCGGTTTGTAAAGTATTCAGAGATCGTCGTATTGGACCAACGTGCTAGGGCTTGCAAAGCTCAATGCCTCAAGCCTAGATTGGGTTTCACGGGCATTTTCGCCGATAAATGATAGAATTGCCTTTGCGACCCCAAGCTTGTATGTCGTAGTTGAGCCATTGTTGTCCATGGGGGACACAGCCTCTGCTTTCGGCACCTCTCTCTTAAGCGCGTCTAAACGCAGAAATAGCGGCGCGAAAGGTTGGGAGAACGTCGTTGCTCGAGCTGAAGGGCTTTTCCTGTCAAGAGGAAACCGTTCGAGACTCTCCAATAACTCATCAAATTCCCACCAATCAACCTCGATTTTGCAACCTTGAAAGTTCCCGAGCTCGTCCACGTCGTGAAAGAAGGTGACTCGCGGCGCGAGATCATTGGCCGCATGATTCTCTCCTTCCGAAGGAATACCAAGTCGCTTGCTCGTTCTATACTGGCCCCGACGATCCCTGTAAAACTGCGTCGTGACATGCTTGATTTCCACCCCAAACTGAGACTCGTGAGAAATATTTCTCATAGACCTTAGTCAGTTATCGACTCACTTCATTGATGTCTCGCGAAGCGGCAGTCTCACCGCGAGGCTTGGGACTCCTGGTTGTATCCCGTCCTTGGTATCTTCCTACGTAAGAAGTAGTCAGCTTCCCTGATGCACAAGTCCTGATGACTACCTACGGCTACGGGTGCGAGTCCGGGATCGGGATTTGGATCGGTATGAGTCGCTTGAGTACTCGGATGTTTCTTCCGACTCAGAAGGTAGTGTTTCGACATCTATGTTGGCCATGATGGCGGCCAAAAAAGTTGATTCTCGTAAGATGAGACTAAAATAAGTACGTTTACAGGAGGTCGAAAGTCACATGGGCGGTTTCTTTATATTGCGAGTATCCTCAACCTTCTTGGCATCCACTCAGCGTAGGTGTGGGACTCATCTATCTTGGTGGCTGAACACATTGTGACGTTACATGCATTTGGCCTTACCTATATGTACGACTTCTCAACGGCTTCTTATTGCTCAATATCATATAAGGAAGACCGAATCAGCTGATCAGTTGCCAAAATTGTAGCATTAGCCCCTCGTCTGCCTGCATAGGTGTGTACTTTACAGACATGAACGTCTTCTGAGTGTCAGTGAGCCTGCATCTCCCATGTCATGACGCTTCCTTACGTCAGAAACTTCAGCAACTTCAGCAACTTCAGCACTTCTATTGTCTCGCATCTGGAAAGTACTGCAGCCCAATTAGATACTGTTCAAGTCTCACATGATCTTACTTATTCGCATACCGTCCCGAGGAAACTGCTCACATTGCTGCCTTCTCGATATCTTCTGTGGTCTTATTTGCCAGCCTGATCTGCAACCACCACACACACAGGCAGATAGCGTGTACCAGCTGCGCAAAATCATAGACCGGCATTTTGTAAGAAGAGAGGATCAGTCAATTTTCATCTTGCAGATTTAGGCTGAATGCATGCTGACACGCCAGCGACGGTGAGCCTAAGTTTCACGCAGGCTGCGAGGCCACACGCAGCCAGAAATGGAACTTATTATTGTTCAAAGAATGTAGTTGAGTTTCCTTATATTTCCATGATTGATGATTGCTCCTACCCTCTGTTAATGGTAGCGATTCTTAAATAGTATTGGCTAACCAAACAAACGATCACGTCATGAACGACACACCATCGACTGTGCGCGAGCCACCAGGCCCTGGAGGCCCATTGAAAAGAACCATCAGGCTGGGCCATCCGGCTCCCAAGCGACTTCCAAGACCCCGAATCTGCGATGGAAGACTTCATCAACTTCTTGGAAAGACCAAGCCACAGAACTTTGCGTCCATGAAGGAGGCAGAGCTGATAGAATCTTTGAAAGCGCTCCACGAAGCTGCAGAAATACATGAAGATAAACCGCCATCTCGGAGCCCAACCAATACCATCGACGTCACCCGACCTGCGTGGGCTCTTGAATTGGCCGAAACCCGATCTCTGAGAGATAAATTCGAACAACTGGGCGCGGCAGTAGGCGAATACAACACTGCAGCGTCCCGCGAAGGACGCGAAATTGTGATCAAGAATGGCTGCGAGCTCAAGGATGTCCTATTTCAAGCGCATATGCTGCAGGAGATTGATTTTCCAAGCAAAGAAGACAAGAGTCTGGGCAGTAACATACAGGCTAGTTTGCAGCAGTTTTGTAAAACGACTCTTCATTATGCCGCAGTCATGGACACACTAGCACAACATCATCCTGAATGGGTCAGCTTAGCTCGGAGGACGATGAAGCTGTTGCTCATGATCCCAATCGAGTACCAAAAGGTAAAGGAAGGCATCGTCGCCAATCTTGGACGGATCGGGAATAAACTAGAGCTCGTGAGCCTGCTGTTGTCTTTCTATCCATTCGAGAGAATGACTGATGCGGCCTCGGTAATCTACGCTTCAATCGTAGATTTCCTAGGATTTTGTTTGCGATACTTGCGTAGCAACTGCTTGGGTAGGAGAGTTTCCGATGAAAACGTGATATTTTGAAGCTGCTGACGATGCATTTTTGCCACCTATTAGTCAGGACCTTCAAAACGATGGTTGCACCTTTTGACACCAGGCTTGGCCCCATCCTCAAGACCATTGACGACAGCTACGCCATCTTGAGGCAAGAGACCGAAGTCCAGTTTATGATTTCTCAATTTCAGAGGTATTGCGTTATACAGAGAGACCTGTTCGAGATGAAAGAAGATCAATGGCGAATTATTGGGGTACTAGAAGGTACTAACGTTGCAACGCAGAGCCTGTTCCAAAATCTTGTTCAACGCTAACACGGGCAACAAAGAAATAATTCAAAGGGATGACGTGGATCGAAGACAAAGAGTCAAAATAATTGAGGGTTGGTTCGTAAATGAGAAACGTCAGGTAAAAGCTCTAATGTTTCTATCAGCGTCTGAAAATCTCGACCGACAACTTTTGAAACTGCCCAGACTCGAAATATGCGAGGATTTCTTCCAGGACCTCCTACCACTGGACAAAAATCTCCATCAAATCCAGCTCGAGTTAGATTTGTTACCAATGTCTTATTTATCAGAGAGCGTCAATGTCCTTCGTCTTCCATCGTTCCAGGCATGGCTGAGCAGTACAGATCCTAGCCTTCTGTGGGTAGATGGATATGAGATCCCTCGCCGTCCCAGCTGGACGACAGACCTGTCTCTCAAAGTTGTGCGTGCAGCTATGGAGAGCGGCTATGACACACTTTCATATTTCGGAAGTCTAAATCGACGAAGCGACTCTGACGCGCCAAAACCGCGTGTCCTCGTGCAGAGCCTCCTGTTCGGCATGCTCCAGAAGTTTCCAGCAGTGATTTCACATGGCGACCCGGAGCTCTTCAATGCCGAGATATTCGTTGCTGCTAAGACAGACTTAGATCTCTCATGGAGGATCTTCGTAGAATGCCTGCGAGTTCTTCCATCTTCGATCGTTTACATCGTGATAGAGGGCGTTGACCTCGTCAACATGGCTGGGGATCAAGCCGCCGACTCCAAATCTTTGCTGAATCGCTTGAGCAGTATTTCCGCTGTTCTGTTGGATGAGAAAGTAGTCAAGGTGGCCTTGACGTCTGTTCGACCGAACGCAGGATTTCAGCACTTGTTTCCCAGCCACGATAGACTCGAAGTTGTTCATGAGCACAGACTTCTGATTCGAGTACCGGCAGCAGCAGCACGAAGGTGCAACCACCGATCGAAAATACAGAAAAAGAAGCAACTAAACCTCCATTCTCCAAGCCCAATGGTGGAGCTAAAACCGATTGATGTGGGTAGCGATTTTGCCCCTTCTGGCTCAGGCGGGGAGAGCGACGGAGTCGTCAGTGATTCAAGCTCCGACTCCAATATTTTTGGCAAGGGCAAGGGAAAGACAGACCGTGCGAGATACTCTTGGTCAAGCCCGACTCTCGGACACAGTCAGGCAAGCCCAGTACAACTTGACTCTTGTGCAAAGTTGAATTCGACGCCGACGGGAGAGCAAGAAAATGAGGACTCTGACAGTTCATTCGACATAGACAAGAAGACTAATACTGAGTTGCCTAAGGAAGCACCAGGCAGCGAAGAAGACCTATCAGATTTTGCACCGTGAAGGGAGGAGTATGGTCGACTTCAACGCTCTGGAGACGCGGTTTCATACCATAGATTGTCTTTCGCCGAGCCTCACTAAATACAAGTCAGAGTTGTTGGTGTTTACCTGGTTGATTACGAACACAGACCCTCAAAGACAGGAGATCAATGAATCCGACCTCTAAATTGAGGCGTGAATAATACGGAAGATCATTGGGCCTGTCTTGACTCCGTACGCGTTATTCCCTCAATCCCAAAAACCTGCATCAAGACTTTCAGATACAAGTGTGGGAAACGAAAGCGAGTGTGTTTTGTATTCGATATGGCGCAATGGTGAAGCACACTACACTCTATGATCATGTGAGTAATCACCGTTCACGAGATAAGTCTCGAACACGAGACATTGGCACCGGCCACTTTTGATCACAAACCGCGAGGCTTACACCGAAGGGGATCTCCGAAATCAACCTCATCGAGCGCAGCACGGATTGTGAGTTGCTACGGTTGGCGAATGACTGGGATGGCCCGAGTTCAATGGGTTGAGGCACCCGGTTTGCCGGATTCCCGACCACGCGTCACGTCGGAAGCAGTAGGTTACCTGACAAATAAGAAAGTTTGGTTTGATCTGCGAGTAAGCTTCGACTCAATTCTCCCCGCGTCGATGCCTTCACCACATCCAGCGCCTTGCAGAATGACAGATCCGAAAAGCAGGCTGTGCAATCATCGTACCCTTCATGAGACCGTTGACGTGTGGCCTGCTCGCCATCTCCGAAAGACAAGGACTGCTTACGCATTTCACTTCGGGAGTCTCACGATAAGCATCGACTAGTGCCGGGTATGCACTCAAGCTTAAATGCGCGGTTTAAGACGGGCGGTATCTACATAGCGGTAAGTCCGATTTTCCAACTAACAGACCCACGTCGACTACTTGTATCAATGGACGCTGAATAAGATAGAACATCCGTCGACGTAGCTCAGTCGAGCAATGTGAGAGTAACGCATTATTATATGTGAGTCATTATAGCGATGGCCGCCCAGAACCTGATCGACGTACGACCTGGACGGGTGCAACATTGACGACTGCTTGGCAAGGCCCGTCCTAGCGAAGTTGTTGGGATGACGACGATCCTGTGGATAATTATCCGAGAACACAGTCTTCGGACGATTACCAACCAATTTGACCCGTCCGGGAACCGCGTGGGACTCATTGTGGGACAGGTATTACAGTTCCCCCTTGCTGCCCCTTCATTACAATAGTTATGATGTGGAATGAGCGTCCCGGAGCCTTAGTTCTCCAACATGGCTAAAACGACAATGAAGGGGAGGCTTAGCAGCTTTCGCACTAGTCGAGGGTTTCAAGCAACTTTGAGACCCTGCTACTGCGGTGGTGCCGCTCTCGATTCATGTCAACAGAGCTTAAATTCTCTCTTCCTCCACTTGCGGCGGGGGATAAACGGCAAGGCGGAGAAAAGATGGAGGCCGGCCGAGGAGACCGCGGGCAGCGTGTTTTCAGGCCTCGGGCTTCATCTTACGGATAACGGAAGCGGCATCTTTTGCCCTGCTCCTCAGCGCATGCAGGGTCCGTCCCAGTTTTGAGATCAGCCCACCGGTGAACCTGAGACTCGGCGAACTTTGTTTTCCTCGTTGGGCTGGCTTGATTCTAGTCTTTTGGCAACCTCTCCGCACGCACTTTCTGGCTCTGAATTGACTCTGGAAAGTGCAATCACCACGTGTGGACATGTAGTAAATATCGGCTGCCTTTCTTAGAATCAGACGCCGCTGATATGCCTATGGGGACGGAGCGCAATATCTTCAGCTTACTTTCGAAGTTATCAAGCATTTTCAACTTGTTGAACCAACTCAAGAATCAAGCTTCTTGTTAGTTTTTGCTCGCTTGCGTTCAGATCAAGCAAGTCCACGCGAAACAATCACTAGATGACGAGGCCGACATGTCTTGGCGTCTTGACTGATGTCGCCAAGCCACCAAACACGTTGCTTCGAAATCGGGTCCGGTTGCTCAAGCGATTGGCAGATTGTTTATAGAAGAAATTGAAACCTGCTCATAAGGCAGGCGGACATGTCGGACTACGACGCGCCAGCCCGGCGAGTCATCGATGCAAGAAGAGGGCGAGTGATCACTATGCGAAGAGATCAGACCTGTAGCAGATGGTCTGAAGACCTCTATAATTCGGCAAAAGATGAAGGAGACCTGATACTGAAGTGAAGGAAAGGATGGAAGTTAGAAGAGAAAATCTAGGTCCAGACCGAGGGAAGACAACCGAGGGTTGGATGAATTTGGTGCGAACACTCGTTCTCGCCAAGAATTGTGACTGGTGCTTGTGGTGGGAAGCTTCCGACACCTGAAGATCTTCAACCCGTCTATCGGTGCTTGTGATCCATGGGACTGCTCCAACAACAGACACACAAGAAGCTCGCGCGATGGGAACCCTTTTGGTTGGTGTCTAGGTGCATTGAGCAGAAAATTGGTGTACAGAGCAGCCCCAAGGCGAGCGAGGATGAAACGCGATGTGCGGCGATCCCAGCCAGCGACTGGCTGGAAAGATCAGCCCAAAACACATGCGGGTAAACCTTCTTCTCCTTCGCATCCACCCCAAAGCTTGTCTCTCTCGGTTCAGACATCAGACGGGCCGGGCGATGCGCGCGGGGTGGCCGTTGTGGACACCCACATTGTGAATTGAAGCTTCACCCGAGAGCGAAACGACCCCTGACAGCACCGCGAAGACTGGGACTGAGTTGCTTCCTATCGTGCGGTGAACAGGGTCTTTCGGCGTCCTCGGACGAAGTATGTTCGCCTACGTTTGAGATGACGACGCGATGGAAAGCAGATGTAAGTGGCCGTGTCCGATTTCACTCGGAAGGTTGGGCTATATAATTCAATCGAAGAAGCCGTAAATTCCACCGTTTGGAGCATCATCTCAATCTCATTCTAGTTCATCAAGCTCTACACTAAAGGCTCTTCGCTCTCTACACTCTTTACACTACTTTACGTCTATCATTTAAATCACTAAACAACAGTCAAGATGCGTTACACTCAGCTCCTCCTCTCTCTCTTCCTCCTCTTCACCTTCGTCATTGCTCTGCCCGCGCCGGCGCCGGTAGAAGCCGTTGCCGCGCAAGACGCCGCCGACAAGAATAAGAACAAGAACAACAATAACGGAACTAAGGGCACCAAGACGAAGACAAACAACAATGGCAACACCAACAAGGGCCAGACCAACAAGGGCCAGACCACCAAGGCTACGAAGAACGGCACCGGAGGAAACACCAGGCCTACCGCTGACGAATGTGCGGCTGCCAAGAAGTTGGCTACTGGCATCGACAAGAACATCTCCATTCAGAAGCAGGAGCAGAAGGATGTTGCTGCTGTGAAGAAGGCTGTTCAGTCTGGAAACAAGTCGCAGTTCGACCAGGCTAAGACGAAGCTCGTTGCCACTGTTAAGTCAGGAGCGGATGTCCGCGCTGAGAACCAGAAGATTGCTCCCAAGGGTAACGCTGCGATTCCGGGTCTGAAGAAGGTATGTTGCACTCAACCCACTCTTCGGAGAACAGAAGTGAAAGACATGAGACTAACAAATCATCATAGGTCCAAAACGCGCAGGCTACTGAGCTGAAGCAGGCTCAGGGTCTCACGGGCAACAACGCCGATCTGGACACCATCGCCCAGATGGAGAAGGAGTTTGCCGGAGGTATCGACCAGAATCAACAGAACAAGAAAGATGCCGTCAAGGGCTGCTAAGCATCTCTCGTGGCTGAACAGGGCTTGGGATACGGGGAAAGTACACCACGAAACAGACTAAGGTTGACCTGGAGTGATGAATAGCGTTGTAAATGGAGGATTCTCAGTACATATATATTGAATGAAGCCGGTTCGGAAAACTTCTCTCCCATAGGTAAGACCGCAACCGCGTCAGCCTAGGCTTTGACAGGCTCTACTCAAGGTGAGCCAAGGCGGCCATAGTCTTCTACTACCTAAAACGTGACTTGATGTCATCTCATGCCACTCATTCAGTCAGTCACTATAGGTGATTAATGGGCTTTGAGACAATTGGTTGGTGTGACATAGTCTCTTGAACTGCTTTAGATGAGAGCTTGAGTCGAATGAGACATTGCTAAAGGCTGGTCTCAAAGAGAACAACCATCAGCCATTGCTTAATTTTGGAAGCTGACAAGCCACCTTCGGCTGCTTATGGTCTGTTTCTAATGTTTGTTGAACAATATTGATGCAGAGGTACTCCATCGATTGAGGCGGAGGCAATGCAGGATGTTATGGTATCGCTACGAGTAACTCACAACTTGATATGATCTATGCAGCCGCGGCCTCGAAACTTATTTGAAACAGGTACATTCCAGTGAATCACCCTTCAGTGATGTGGCGACATCTACAAGAGAACAGGATCGCCGTATCGCTCGCTAGCATCGAATAAAACTCCGCTGCGTGTAGCTGCTCCTATTCAGGCAAGTCCCTGCCTTCGACTGGGAATCATAACTACATATTTTTGCAAGGTGATTAGTTGTGGAGCTTTTGAATATGTCTATTAATAAATGGTTTTCTTATCATCTAAGGACAAGGTTCCTCGCAAAGAATAGCAATATATCAGGTTATGTAGGGAAATGGCTCACCGCAGATAAAGACTCAACAGCTTCTTTTTCTTTCACACCTACAAGATGAGGAGTTGGCTGATCATAAAGTGATATCTTAAAGCAGTTTTACTTCGACCACGCGCAAGACTTGATCTAGTAGCCAAGTTCGCAAATAGGACCAGAAAGTCAATGCAAGTCTGTCTAAAGAGAACGAAACGACTTTGTCCTGAGTAATACGCTCTATGTCTGATCTGAGAGTTTTTCGAGAGAGGGGAGTTTCGTAGAAGGTATAAAGTTCAATAAATTACCAAGCGGAATATAAAAGTTGATAAGTATGAATATGCAGAGCTGTCATATTTGAAATACGACTTTTACATCTGGATCAACTTTTCGAAAGATGTGTCTCATGGCTTGTTTAAACTGAAAATTGAGCTTACCTTCGGCCTCCGGATTAATGTAATAAACGTACACGGGAAAAGCAATGGGATGTTGACTTAGTCATTCTTCACAAGGTGGTATTTGAGATGATATTATGAATTGCAATGTATTAAGGAAATTCGAAGGCGCAAGTAAATGATTACTCGCTATTACCAGGCCAAGTTGGCCGACGGTTAGGCTTTTGAGGAAGTGGTTGATTAGTGAACAATGCCGAGCGACCCTCAAAGTAGGTAGAAACTTCCGTATCTAATTTAACTCTGAAGTATGAGCGATAAGGCTCGAGGGCATGAACTCTGGCTAGCAGTTCTGACATGTAGCTTCCAGCAGTGGCCATGTGAAAGACAATATTTCTGGTGACGATCCTTGCAACTGAAAGTAGCAAAACATACCGTAAGACTGTCAGCAACCGAGCTTATCATTTATTAGCTACAATCTGGACCTTGTTAAATTCATAGCGAACACAAGAAAGCAAATGGTTAAGCTGGCAACTTGGAGTCAACCTCACCTCATGCGTAAAGATTTAGAGCTTGGAAATTGTAACGAAGAACCGACATGATGACTTTATCGCGAAGGAAACCTTGACACCCTGCAGAAGCATCTGCCATGGCTTGAGATTCTCTTTCTAAGATCATCAAACCGTGAGTTGTGATATCATGAATCATTCATTGGTGTGAGTCGATCGTCTAAACTACGCTTTCCCTAGGCCGTGGCAGGCAGCGAACCTTTGCCCACATCACGCATCACCAAGGGTTTAATCATTGATTATTGAAACTACGGGGCTAATATGCAAACAGTCATGTTATCAGTCTCGTGGTTAATCAGATGCCTTAAACAACCTTTCACCTGAGATTGAAATGCGACTGGCTCAGACGCACTGGCACTCCGCTGAACGCCATCAACAGGAACGCTCTAACACGGTCGAGATAACTTTCCGTCTTCTTTGACTCGACATCATCCGTCCAATGTCTGTAATATCATATCCTTTATAGGCCTACGAGAAATGCCGCGCGCGAAAACTTTCAACCCGCATTGAGGAGGCCTGGAAACAAATTCGCGCAGATTATCTACTTGCCGTCTTTCCGAGGAAACAATGCTGTCATTATTCAGGGTCAGCAAGCTTCGCCGGATCGCCTCGTTACCGTCTTTTCAGGATGCCAAGTGCCGTGTTCCTGAAAGACAGCTCGGACAGTTGCGGGCGGGAAGGAACTCTCTTCTTTATCGGATGGATGTTACGAAGAGAGTCATGGCTGTCTTGTCGCAGTGCTTATCAATAATCATGGTAGTCTTCCCCTCTCAATTTTGCGAAATTCCGCCGAAGGGCACCACTTCTCCGCACTCCCCTTGAAAAGTCCGCAATAGCAGCGCCGTGCCTTGAAGTGGGCGATGATTGCGGGCAATGTCCACTAATTAGGCTTTTTAACTCGGTTTCTTGCGAGCCTAACTGGGTTGCGAGGGGTAAAGTCTGCTATCAATGCCGAAAAAGGGGGCTTTCTAGTTCCCTGAGGAGTAATGTTTCTCTTTGGCTTTTGCTGACGCTCAAGGGAGGCTGGTCTTGTCAGCGGAGACCTGGAAGCACTTTCTCCTCCCCTCGCATTAGACCTTCTCACCTGTCAACTCTGACGCTCAGGAGTTGGTAACTTGGTGCAGTCCGGCAGTCGCAGTTTGGTAGGTGAGTGATCGCCTCCTCACAGCGTAACATTCCTGGCTGGTAATTTGCTTAAGATAGCCTTATGACTCGCAGATCTCTCACGTAGGAAGTTGTAGACGACTTGGCGTTGCTTGAGATCCAGGGCCGGTGGGCAAGGGGTTCTGCTCCGTAGCGCGCCCAGAATAACAGACCCCGGCCGCCGAGCCGGAGATCTCACCCTCAACTAATGGCCGGATCACCAAACACTCTGGGGGCGCCGCCGTGGCGCGCCGTGGCGTTCCGGAGTACCGGTTCACTCACACCCACCATCCCGATCTTTCGCGGTTCCAACATCCAAACTGACGGCTTGGCATTACAACGGTTGCGCTTGGTGACGCCCTGATTGTGATGGCTCGATGACTCGAGAATAACCCAAATTCCCAAATCGTTCGTTGCTTGACTTCTGCACAAAGTGCCGGTTCTCGCGTCTCTCTAGGAATTAAAGTCTTGTTCCCTCTGAGCTTCTCGCTTTCTTGCTGTACGAACGCCCGAACCCCCAGACAGGGTTTGTCGCAGATTTCGCGAGTTGTGACCACGTCCACAACCGTCCGCACCGGAAGCAGAGCGGCTCAAGAACTTGCGACGTTTCACCCGCGTGGATCCCACCAAGCTTGTCTTGCTTTCGTGCCTGAAGAGCCTCAAGAATGCATGTTTCGCCCCAGGGATCACCCTCGGGCAGTTCTTCTTTCTTACGAAGACCACTTACAGGGCAGAGAGAGGAACGGGGTACCACGTTAGCTCCCGTGGTTCCGGCCAACGGTTGATATCCATCAGCACAAGGATTAAGGTATGGGAGGCTGGCTTTGAAGCTATGATCGCCGGGCCATCAGCGTCGGATCATTGGCATCTCTCTGTCAGCGACAAGGATCATGTCGTCGTCGGGCTAGGGCCGAGTTGTGGTATTTGTAGTCGCAAGGCCGCACATCTGGCCCTGACGCTGCTTCATCCGGTCTCTGTTCGCCCTGTCTCATCATTCAAATCATCGTGCTGGTCACTCGTTTCTTTCAGTCTTGTTTAATCCCAACACTGTCCTTTCTTCATAAACCGCCAGACTACCTACTCTTTCCGCTTTACAGGCCGATAAACAAACATCCCAAGTAATCACTTCAAGATGCGCGCTTCAATCACTGCCGCCACGGCGCTGCTCGCCGCTTTGGTCTCTGCTCATGGTAACATTGTCTCGCCTCCTGCCCGTGGTGTCGGCGCCGCAATGGCTGCAGCATGCGGACAAGCGAACGTGAAGGCTGTGACAGCCGATCCCACCATTCCTCTGGAAGATTTCACCAGCCCCCCTGCAACATGTAAGCAAGGCTCTAGAGCGTGAATCAATCAGACAGATCACTGACATAATATCAAGGCCAACTTGACCTTTGCAGAGGAGCCAAGTTCGAGGACAACAAGGCCAATGTCCAGACCTTCAAGGCCGGACAGGTCGTCAACATGAAGGCCGAGATCCCGATTCCCCACGAGGGCCCCATGAACGTCTCTATCGTCGATACCGCAACCAATAAGGTTATCGGACAACCTCTCATTGCATTCGACAGCTACGCCGACGAGAATCTCGCGGCACTGCCCAAGAACAACACCGACTTCGACATCACCATGCCCTCTAACCTACCCGCGGGCACCTGCGCTCAGGCTGGCCAGTGCGTCGTCCAGTGGTTTTGGGTTGGCACCGCAGCGAAGCAAACGTACGAGAGTTGTGTAGACTTTGTTATGGCTTGAGCGATTAGAACATCATCGCCTAGGTATAGAGCAATGGGAGGTCTTTTGAGCGCGTTTGAGCACGTAGATCAGCGTCGCATCCATGTGAATGCCGCGCCATTTTGAAGAGCTTTTTCTATTACACTTTGATTATTCGTGACAAGGAATGCGACACACTTTACTTTCCCCATAAAGTAACGCTGCTTGTGTGACGACTTTATGATTAACGCTGAAGTACTCAGATCACGTACGACATCAAGATGTCCAATCCCCAAGTAACAGGTCGAGGGGCATATTTTCCATAAAGTCTAGGGAAGACTCGTTGAGCAACATTCGTAGACTTGGGTCTGCAGCATCGTCGTCGAAAGCCGGTTGATCTTCGCCGTAGAATGCAAAGTCATTCTCACTCGGCAGATCAGCAAAGTTTTGCGTCGGCGCAACGAAGTGGGATGCCGTCGGCCTCGCTTCAGCCTCATCACCCGGCTGAGGAACCACGGATTGGGAGTAGTTTTGATCCAATTCTAGGTCCAACTGCGGTAGGGACTGGAACTGGCTGTGGATGCGATCGAGCATCTCCAGGCATCGATTTGCCGATCTGCTCTTTTGCGCCAAGGTCTTCAAGCAGGCGCGTGATTTGGAGACTGAGTGTTGCCATGCAAGTCTGTCTGTCTGGTCTGTCGAAGTGGCCTTGGTGAGATAGTTCGCTTCCAGGACTAGAGTCGCCTGGAAAAGGAAGTATGTCGCGTACCATACGATTCCTTGGTGAAGAGACACTTCATTCTCCATGGAGAAAGTAGCAATGTCGTGGATGCTTTGCATAGCGACATCAAGACACTTTTCTTCCGCATTTACCTTGGTGGGCAGGTAGCTGTGATGTTGCTGACTTCCGCGCCAGAGAAGAATGCGAAGGTTCTGCTCTTTCCAGAGCACGACCGCTCGAGGCGCCCGGAACCATGTTGGGCAATCGGCTTGGCTGAAGTATGCCGGCAGAGCTTGTTGCCAGCGGTTTAAATCTCGCTCCATTGTTTCAGCGACTCTGTATTCGACCTTTGTTCCGGCTGTCTTTGCTAGTAGAAACTCGTGGTACACAGCGTCGGCAATCTTGGCTAGCTTTGCTTGGGCAATGATAGCCGAGTAAGTAGTTGGGTAATCAACCGGTGGTGGTACCGGTGCCTTGAGTGGTAGTTCCTGGAAGTAGATTAGCACCTCAGAAATATAGGATAGAAAAGCAAAACTACCTTATCGTCAATGTTTCGAGGGACCCGGGTATCTATGAAATCTTCCGACATTGCGGGTGGCCGTCCGGTGGTAATGTTGAACCCACTCTCGAAACAGTAGATAGCCCAAAAGAGCTGCCGCCGCCGCTCATGTCCCAGAGTATCTTCCAACCCTGGAGGTTCGCGATGTAGACCTAGGCCCAAGGCCATTCTGTAGGCTAAACCGCTAAAGTTATAGCCAGTATTGGTCCTATCTCTCTTCTGTAGGTAGTTGCTCATAAGCAAGAAGGCCTGAACTGTCTCAATCGTGCCGGACTCAAGCATTTGAAGAGACAAACTGGAACGCGCTGCGCTGTAGTAGCTAGACTGCAGATGCTCTGACTCGGTGCTAGAGAGCCAGTGGCCGATGGCCAAAACCATCTGATAAACGACACGCCATGGCGAGTTCGTCAGCCGTTGACGACGCCCTACTTCGACCCTTTCTCTAAAAGTCCGCTCGTGAAGAACTGGGTAAGAGGTGTTGTAGAGTAGAAAGTACGCATCGATCAACCGGCCAGCGATATATGACGAAGGCAGGTCAAAAGGTTCAGGTAACGCGAATCCGGCTGAACTGGATGATCTACGTTGTCTTTTACGATGCGATGTGTGGTGCGGCGTGGCTGGATGCGCAACGTGGATCACGGAGTCGATCTCCCCAAGCAACTGGGAACCAGAACTGCTCCCTGAAAGTTGACGTCAGGCATGGCTCATCGGTCAACTGTCTTCCGCAAAACCAATCTTGGTGATAGCTTACCTAAGTATCCAGAGTCATGGGTTGGCAGCATAGCCATCCCGTCATTCTCGTGGGCTGAAGATTTGAACTCTGGCGACAGCGACCCCTCGTGCCATTCGTAGCTGTGAGGTGTGACTTCATCCGAGTCTCCCGGCGGGGAGTGAAGCGAGCTGCCGCCGCCATCATCTTCATTCCCCACTAAGTCCTGCTGGACCCGTGTCTCTTCAATGGCTGAGTTGATGTCGAACTCTGGGTTCAAGGACTTGACGAGGCTCTGAAGCTGCTTGCACCGGAGCTCAGCTGCGTCGAGGTTCTTCCGGGTCAGAGGCGTCCGATCAGGGGGCCTCTCAAAGCTGCACGTCTTGCCTGTTTTGGCGCAGTAAGAACATGGGTCGTTGGCTGCGCTGCCTCTCATGCATCGGCTTTTGCGCTTCTGACAGTTGACGCAGGCCCGGACGGTGCCTGAGTTGGAACATCGGCGGGAAGGGTCCGGCATATTTTGTGCTTCAACATCCAGTCCCTGTCATGGATATTCCGACTCGTGGGGAATGCCGGAGATCAGAGGGCCGTAAGGGGGCTCAAATACAGTTTCTTCTCCCTGCGTAAGTCTCCCAAGGCTGCGTATGCCATCCCGGGTCATTCAAGAGAGTTTCGAGATATGAATCCGCTAGCACGTGCCTCATCCAAGACGTTGTCAAGCCACGAACCTTTGATTTACCCCTCAAGAAATTGTTCTCGGAGCACAGTCGCCCGATGAGCGCCACTCAGAAGCCAGAAATACGGGGAATTGCGGGGTGGTCGGGGGCGGGAGTACGGATACAACGACTTAAGAGAGACTGGCATTGCCGAGGGTTTCAATAATGGCCCGTTCACGACAGTAGAGTGTTTGACTACCCAATACCAGAAGACAGTGAGATTGCCTGCAAGACGGGGCAGATCGGCGAAGATCGTTGCGTTAAGTTGGTAATACTGCTGACAAACCCGCCGATGCGCCCAAAATCATGGCAAGTGGAACTTGAACGACGACGTAAAATTGTGCTACTAACCGAATATCTTTGGAGACTGGTTGATTTTAGAGTTTCATTGAGGCTTGTAAGAGGTCCCAGTCCGCGAGTGAGGCTCTCGAGGACGATGATAACTTCGAAAACAACCTCAGCTGTATCACATATCCTGAGCCTGCAGGAGGAAGTGGGATGTTCGCAATCATTCCGGAGGTGTTATTATTAGCCCCGCAATCTTCTTTCATTACAACCAGTTCATTCAAATTCAAAGCGCCTGCATCATAATTGGAACCTGGAACGCTCAGGCGCGGGATTTCGTCTTCATTACCCTTTCCTTTTCCCTCTCCTTTTTGATGATTAGCCTTTCTTGTACTAATTTTCTTTAGTAGGTTGCTTGGGCGTGAAAGAAAACATTGCTCACGCGAAAAAAGCACAAATTGTTCAGAAAATTATTTCACATTAATATTAATTATTGCTGGATGTTTGAAGTCTGAAGCAAAAATTCTAAGAAAAGTTGAAAAAGCCCCATCTCTGTCACTAAACGCCGCGCCATCTTTTCTAATTTTAAGATTCTATTCGCATCTGACATAGATGCCCGCTCAATTCCTTTATGCAGGGATAATGATCAAGTCGACGACGTTGCAGTAGCTCAGAGGGGGAGTCGCGCCGGAGTAAGCGTAGATGTGCTGCCCAGAGCCCGTGTTTCCGTCGCCGACCATGCTCGCTTGGCGGATGCAGAACTTGTATGCCTTGCCATTAGCGTTCATGAAGACCTGGGAGTTGCCGTTGGCGAGAGTGGTGTAAGAGAAGATCTTCATAGCGCTGTTCTTGTTGTTGGACCAGTAGAGCAAGCTGTACGTGTTGGAGTTCGAGATGTAGTAGTATGCGTTGTGGGTGACAGAGTAAAGGCTGCCGTCAGCGGCAACGATGAAGGTCTCACGGCTACCCTGCTTGTACCAGTTATCGGTCATGTGGGTGGCGTCGTCAGACAGGGCATACTGGGAGTTGGGGTTGACGATGGGGTTGATGCTGAGGTAGCCGATGGTGCCGGTGGGAGCGCTGGCGGCAACGTTGATGGTAGTAGTAGAAGTGACAGTCTGGACGACGATGACAGTGCTGGTGGCTGCCGTGGTGGTGCTGGAAGCCGCGCCCGTGGTGACAGTCTGGACAGTAGTAGCGGACACGGTCATGGTGGTGGTCACGGGGGTGGCGAGCAGGGAGCAAGCGGAAGAGACGACATCGGCTGGGGATTGCAGTTAGTATCATGCGATTCGGAATAAAGGGGGATGAGACATACCAGAAAATCCGGCCAGACCAGCGGGTGTACCATCACGGCGAGCCTTTCTGCGAGAGGTGGTGGTGTTGGTGGAAGGCGTGACATCGGGAAGGGCAACGACATCCAGGAAGTTTCCATCGTCATCCTTGGTGCCGTTGACAAGAGGCTCATCGCGTGCCCAGAGACCACGTCTGACCTTGACGGAGTGATCAAGGGGAGTGGGGTCATCGTGGAGGCAAGTAGTGGTGGGACGGGGAGGCAGATCACGCTTGAGCTGCTTGGTAACGGCAACCAGCTGAGTAGTGGTGCTGTAAGAGGTGGTCAAGGGGGTTACAGTCGAGACAACGGTAGTGGCAGGGACAGTAGAGAAGTCAGTCTCTGTGGCGGTGGTGACCGGGGTCGTGTAGCCGAGGAGAGAAGAGCAGTAAGGCTGAAGGCTGGAGGTGACAATGGCCGAGCTGGCACTGGCGACGGCGCAAGGAATTCTGGGCTTGCCGGCGTCCGTGGCGTTGGTGTAAGAGAAGCTGTAAGAGATGGTATAGTGGTCACTGCCACGCCACTGGCCGTTGTTGGTAGCATAGCTGTTGTCCCAGGCCTTGGAGTACTATAAGATGTTAGAGATTGTCGAGGCGGTGTGTCTAGGCTGAAGATTGAACTTACCAAGGAGCAGTACTGTCCCTCGGGAACCCCGTTCTTCAGGACGAAGAAGGTGTTGAAGAACTGGCAAGTCTGGGCAGGGGCGTTTGCAGGAGGGTGAGCAACGTTGTACTGAGACTGAGCGGTACAGGCAGCGGCGCAAAGCTTGGGATCAAAAGGACCGTCGGTGAAGATCTTGGAGCCCAAGAAAGTATCGTAGCCAGCGCAGTCGAGGGGAGCGTTGATGGAGTTATCCCCCAAGTAGACGGCGGAGCTGTAACCGGCCTGGTCATCAGCGCGCTGGGCAACGTAGCCGTTGGATCCAGCAATGACGACCTCGAACTGGTTGCGCCATTGGCCACGGTTGTTTGCGGTGTTCTCGTAGACGGGGCCGCCCCAGAAGACACACTTGATGACATTGGTGCTGGCGGGGTTGGGGCAAGCATCGGCGGGTTCCTGGATAAAGTCAGAATCTGATCACTGGTGTTAATGAGATAGGCCGGACTTACAACACTGGGATCCCGCTCGAAGTAGATGTTGAAAGCAACACAGCCGTTGATGGCATCACACTTGGAGGCACAGGTCTTAGTGTCGTAGCTAGTGAGGGTGGTGTAACCCATGTAGCCATAGGCACTGCTGGATCCCTGCAGGTTCTTGAATGTGTTGAAGTAGCCAGAGGGAGTAGCAGCATTGTTGGCAGATGACGCGAGGTCCGCGTCGCTCAAGAAAGCGGCCGAAGTGTCGGGGTTCGGGACGGGGCCGTATCCGACGGGCTGCAGCTCGCAAGCTGAACGTTCGACGAGACGCTTCTTCTCCGACTTGACAGGCGCAGTCTCCTGGGGAAGAGGACTGGCCTTGACCTCAGCGACAACACTGGCAGCTGCAGCGTTGGCATCGTAGGGAATGACGGTGGGAGAAGCGCCAACGGGAACGGTGGTATGCGGCGGCTCGGGAGCTTCGTCAATGACCTGCCAGACAAGGTCTTGGGCCTTGGCGAGCGCGACAAAGGCGCTGATGATAGGAGCAGAGCGCATTGTGTATAATCTCTGTTGATCCGCAGAGGTCGATTGAAGGGAAGAGCTTTCAAGTATCGGAGCTCAAGATGTGAAAGGAGTGAGAAGGAGTGAAGAGGCTTGAGTTGACTGGTATGATATCTCATCGACAATGGCGGATGGCGGAGTTCCTTATGTAGTCAATCCATGATGCCTCTGACCTCGTAGTCTAGCTCATGCTTGTTCCTTTCCCGTTTGCTATCGCACTTGTAACGACAAGAATAGTGCTCGTCTCTCTCCACGACTCGCTCCGTGTTCACGATAATACATACAATAGCGTTGATGCTGAAATCTCATTTCCACATCACGCGGCCGGCAAAAAGCGGTGGAGGACTAGGTCCGGAGCTGGACCACGGAGCTGTACCATGGGATTGGGAAAGGCGGCCGTGTGCTGGGCGCTCTAAGAGTCCATGTCCCCCCTGCTAGACACCATTTCCAGACTGTTGGTATTAGATTCTGGACCCTCAAGGCCGCACAGATGGCTGTATTAGGGAAGAGTCCCTGGTTCTTGGGGCTCAGGTCAATGATAGATCCACGTGGGTTCAACGTGTAGCCTCCTTGCCCGTTGCCAGACTGAGAAATTCAGCTCGCAACGGGAGTTGTAGCTGCGAGTTCACGGACCCAAAACAGCAGATTTAAGCTAGCTCAACCCCTCGTGCCTGGTGGAGATCCTCAGCTTGCGTAAAAGTCTGGACTCGGATATGCAGGGGTTACCAGCAGGGGTAACGGGCGGCTGACGATCGATAGTCGAGGAAAGTGGTGAGAGACCGCTTGCTGGCCTATGAGATTGTTTCGGCAGATGAGAAGGCATGAGGGTCGGTCCCTGAGTTTCTGCATCGTAAGGCGCTAAGCGAGTAGACGCCATGCCTTTGACGTGTTAGTCCTACGGTGTTACCGACGGAACGGACGATGAGGATGCGCTTTACTCCTATCGCATGTCGCCGATCAGTCTATCGAGTAACTAAGACCAAGATAAGCTTCCTGGGAACCCAAAAAAGATGGGAAAGTAATTATCGATGAGATCCACACATATGGATGCCGGGGAAAAGTCTGGAACAAAGGACTGCACGATATAACGTGTTCAGGAGTAAAACTAGGCCTTCTCCTCCCTCAGACCTTCTCATCATTATTCGGAGGCATCCAGACTCTCCGGTGCTTCTTCTACAGAGTAACTCTCAGATGAACTGATCAGATGCACTTCAGCGTCAGCGACATCACGGTGTGAGCCACAAGCTTGACTGTTGTGAGGTTCTCGGTTGAGAGTCAGCGTGTAGGAAGGAAAATGCCCCAGATCACCTCATGACATGTTTTCACGTTATGCGTTGACAGGATGGTTTGAATCTTACTCTCTCACGATCCCTCATCGAACGTCCAGGTCACATTCGCAATGTTTCATGCGTAAGTTAATCCAACATGAAGTCTTTGCTGGATTTTGAGTGATCGCGATGATGGAGCTGAAGTCATGCATCAGTATCTACACAGCAGTGGCCACTGAGACCGCAATACGGGGGCAAGGAAGGAAGCAAAAGTAGAAGTGAAGTTATCATGAGGTCCAGAAACGGCAAGGTTCGCGCCGATCGTGGCGCCAGCCTGCACTAGACTGCCACGAAAGCAAACACGGAAGAAAATTTGCCGATCTCGAACCTGATTGCACAGATGATGAGTCAATGCCAGGTACTAGCTCGCTTAGTGGCAGTCCGGCTGGACACTTATACCCTGACGGTACTAGATCCAAGTGTTCCTGACTTCAAGCCGCCTCGAGGGCTTGTGGGCGTCACCATCTTCGGGAGGCCGCGCGGTGAATCCCGTTACATCCGCTCAGCAAACGCCATTTTGGACTCTCTGACCTCCATCTCCTGAATGATTTTGCGGCATTCTCACTGAAGATAATGTAAGTTAGGCGGCTTTACATATGTTTACGAGGGATGTCACGATGCTCGCAACAAATCGCGGCCAACTTCATAGTCAAGCATCGGTACTTTCCCTGTGGTTCTCAGTTTTCACAGATTTTGCCCTTCAAGCGCACGAGCCTTGGACAGAATGCCGAACTCGGCACGTACTCCCGTCCTTTGCCGATTTGACTTGGCAGCCTAGAACCTGGTAGCTTGAACTGTCAAGCCACAACGCCTGATCAATAACTCAATGAGGAATAGACGCAATCAATCGACAAGGGCGACAATATTGTGGCTTGCTGTCAAAGTGCTAACCGAGAAAACCCGTAAAGTACAACGGACAAAAGCCTCCATGTCTGCTGTAAGCCGCGCGGATCGATCGGCATCTTGGGTACGAAGGATTAAGCCAGAATAGGTGAATCTCTCCCTAAATAACACCAAGCTCGAAAAGGGGCAGTGCACACAGCATTATTAGTAGTGGTTTTCTGGGTTGTGTACCTGATGCCGAGAGTCGCGATGTTGTTGTGTGGCTTGGATCACAGGCAGCATCAGGTGATGAGGCTTCGAGGGGTGGTAATGAGATAACTGCATCGACCTCCCCAATTCAGAGGTGGTGGAACATGTCCTGTTCTCGACTTTGGCCTCGAGTGGTTCCCGGATGGGAATCGCGCGACCCCATGCTGGCGACCAAGGGCTTCTCTTTCAAAAGGCGATCAAGTTGTGGTGGGCTACATCAAGCTCAACAGTCGTTCAGTTAGTTGATAAACCTCAATTCGGGAAAGATGGTTGATCAAAAGCCATGACACCACTATATGCAGTCCTCCGTAAATTAACTTCATGCTTTTGACCCAATTTCGGTGGTAGACCTAGACGTGAGGAGAAAAGCATGCTGACTTCTCTCCTCGCCGTGGCCTCTTCATCTCACTTGGCATGTGTGTGATTCAAAGATACGCGGTCTCTGTATGAAACCGGCAGTAGAAGGACTCGATTTCAGCTTTAATGATCAGTCAGTATGTCAGATCGAACATCATTTGCCTGAGTACTTACTTTATTCAGTAAGCGATGCTCTTCCGGAACTGATCGGATTGAGAGGGGGCTCAATGTCATTTGACTTCCCGTCCATGTTCGCCGTATTTTTGACTGTTCGGCCGAGAATGCATCTTTATGGAACTTTCTCTGATAGTGGCTACGCGCCGTTGATGATAGTCACCAAGAAAGGGGTCTGTTGATGTCACCAACACCATTACTACATGAGGATGTTCATAACGGGAATAAAAAATGTGGTCTAAGGCCAATTGAGAAGGATTTCGCTTGAGTCTTACGTCAATTCGAACATGTTTGTAACTCTCGTTCGGGTAGACAAGAAACTAAGATCGCGGCAAACACCACTCTAAGTGCGACGTCCGAAGACGGAGCCGTGCCACAGGTATGACACAGAGACCAGGGTATTCTTTTCAAAGCGGGGTGAGAGTTAGTCGTTCTCGGACGATAGTAGAAGGATTCCATCTGATGTTGATGGATGTAAACCCCATATCGGGCAGAACCCGGCCGACGAACTACGAGTTGGGGTCATCTGATGAAGGCATCCTCGTCGCCTCCACCTTCGGAGCACAGCACGCCGATGACAAGATTCCAGGCTTGCGGTACCGTGGAAGCATCCACTTTCCCCAGTTTCCCCGGTCATTATCGGGACCCCAGAGAGTCTAACGACGTGGGTCGTCTGGAGGAATTCTCCGATGATGCGTCTTCCATTATGTATAGCCATGTTTTCCTCCTCCCATCGGAGGAGTGGTTCGTCCCAGCCCTTTACCCATGCAGATATCAATCTTTACCTCCTGCTCTTTGAATAATCGAACTCGTATTTCCATTCTACGGACACTGTAAACATGGAGATCTCCTACGGGGCAGCCGGTAAGAACAAAGACATCAAACACACATTGTCCTGAACAAGGACCGTCACTGAATATCCCTCCTAGGTTATAAGGGTCTCATTCATGAGCCATACATCTTCTTCCTCGCATGTTTTGCAAGCATTGGTGGCGTATTGTTTGGGTAAGATCCTTTGCTGACTTCTGGTCTCTTTGCAAAGGCGCATAACTTGATCTTAATGACTTATCGGGACTCCTCCAGCTACGATCAGGGCGTAATCAGCGGCGTCCTGGTGATGAACAATTTTGTTAGTGTACAAGTGATATCCTCTTCACCACACCTAGAGATCTAACATCTATTCTTACAGGCTAAACAGTTCCCAACCCTATCCGAAGACGCGACTCTCCAAGGATGGATGGTGGCAGTACTTACACTTGGAGCGATGGTCGGCGCTTTGGTCAATGGCCCAATTGCTGACGCCCTATCCCGTCGCTGGACTATTCTCCTAGCCAACATCATCTTCCTCATCGGTTCCATCATACAAGCCGCCTCGATCAACGTCCCCATGATCTTCATCGGCCGCTTCATTGCCGGGGTGTCGATTGGTCAGTTGTCTATGGTAGTCCCTCTGTACCTGAGTGAGCTTGCGCCGCCAAACCTTCGAGGAAGTCTTGTCGCGCTTCAGCAGCTCGGTATCACGGTGGGAATCATGGTTGCTTTTTGGCTGGATTACGGGACTCAGCATATCGGAGGTACCGGCGACAGTCAATCTCCTGCGGCTTGGAGACTTCCACTCGCTCTTCAATGCGTTCCGTCAATGATACTTGGTGCTGGAACATTCTTCTTGCCATACACCCCACGCTGGCTTTTGATGAAAGGTATGAATGGTTGAAGCCCTGAGCTTATTGAATTTGTCCTTATGTTCGATTGGCAGACCGCGAGGAAGATGCGCTTACTACCCTCGTCCGCATTCGGCGTGTTCCGCCAACAGACGCCCGGCTCAAGCTCGAATTGATGGAGATCAAAGTTGCAGCCCGATTCGACACTGAGACGACTGCCGAGATGTACCCCGGCGTCACTTCCCGTCTAAAGCTTACGTTGGAGAGGTACAAGTCACTATTTGTTGTTCGCCACCTAAATCGCCGTTTGGTGATTGCCTGTCTCCTTCAGTTGATCCAGCAATTTACCGGTATGTCCTACGTCCGATCTGTCCCTACCACCCGATTGTATTTGTAGCCAAGTGATTCATTCAGTCTGGTGTCTCCTCAATAAATGACTGACAAGAACTTGATTTAAGGCATAAACGCAATTATTTACTACGCTCCACGTATCTTCCAAAACATAGGGCTCTCAGGCAACTCCGTAGATCTTCTAGCAACTGGCGTCGTCGGTGTCATTAATTTCTTCTCCACCATCCCTGCTATCATGTTCATGGACAGATGGGGGCGTAAGAAAGTCCTCATCATCGGCGGAGTTGGCATGGGGGTGTCCCAACTCATTGTGGGTACTCTCTATGCTGTCTACAAGGACAGCTGGGCAAGCAACAAGTCGGCCGGGTGGGCTGCCGCGTTCTTTGTATGGGCCTATATCGCCAATTTCGCTTTCAGCATCGGCTGCGTCAACTGGATCGTGCCTTCAGAGATCTTCCCACCTGGAGTGCGATCCCAGGCAGTTGGTCTTGCGATTGGAACCAATTGGCTGAGCAACGTAAGTCAACAAGAAATGTCGATGCTGTTGCTTTAATACTGACATTTAGAAGTTCATCGTTGCTCTCATCACTCCTCGAATGCTTGAGGCTATCACGTTTGGCACATTTTACTTCTTCTTAGGTGAGTCACGGACTCTTTGAGCTCTTGCTTATAGAGGATACTGACTAGTCAGCTTTCTGTGTGATTCTCGTCGTTTGGGTCTACTTCTTTGTTCCAGAGACCAAAGGAGTTCGGATCGAAGAGATGGACAAGCTTTTTGGAGGCAATCAAGGAGAAGCCGACATGATCAGGATGGCAAATATCAGGCAACAGTTGGGATTGATCCAGGGGAACGATTTGAAGAAAGAAGTTGATATTGGGGTTAGTGAGGTAGAAAAGGCATGAATTACCGACATCTGATTTGGGACTCGGCTCGAGTTTAGAATTAGTGATTAATATTTGGAGATCTATGCTTGATCAAGTACTTTGCATGCCATGATGAGTAGTACTTAAAAAACCGTACATACAGAATGCACACCGGAAAGACAGCAGTTCCGAGAGGACTCTAGGTGTGCCTTCGATTTGATTGTGCGTTCCATCATGACCCAAATGATGACCGGTAACACCCCTCCCGGAGTAGGCACAACAACAAGATTGCTGATATCGTGCACCCCAGGATCCAAGTCACCAGTTTTGGTCACAACGTCGAAACCCAAGTCAACTACCAGCTTCACCCCAGGCCCAATCATACTCGGTTTAATGATTCCACCTTTGTTAAGCTCCGTCATCACAATGACGTGACGCTTGGAATCGATGTCCCTAATTTTCCCACCGAGCATCTCCAGGATTTCGACATGGGGAAGATGTCGTTGCAAGTCCGCCTTGAAGCCTGGCGTTATGATGTTCGTACCTCCCAGCAGAACGATAGTCAGGTCGAGCATCCAGGCCTTGTGGTAGACGTCGAGCAGCCGCCTCAGACCATCCAGTGCGATATTGGCCGCATAACCCTTAGCATATTCCTCAATGTGCTTTTTCGTGTGGATGCTGTTCATTATTTCGTGTTCCTCGAGATGATCTGGTAGAGGTCGCTGGATCAGAATGCCATGGGTGTTCTCATCTCCATTCAATTCGGCGATTTTGTCGCGCGTCTCGTCGACCGACGCATCAGGTGGAAGTCGGTGTGATATATATCGAATACCAGCCTAAGTATCTTCATATCAGCTGAATCCCCTCACTTCACAGTTCGGTGATGAACGTACCTTGGCAGCCACCTCGGCTTTGATCTGGAGGTACTCTTTCGCGTCGCTACCCGTGTCGAAGTAGATCACCCCTAGCGTTGGCTCGATGCCATCCCGCGATCTGTGGCGGTAGCACCATCGCTCAATGTTCGCGGAAACAGGTAGTCCTTTGAGAAGAGACGCACCGGGGAAGTGTTCGAAAGTAGGCTGGCACTCACACTTCTCATCGATGATGGCGCCCCCTTCAAGTGTGCTCAAAGACATGACGAAGCACGATGCACTCCAATCAGCGACATACACAGACGCAAATTCAAAGAACTAGCAAGTACGAACCCAAGTTCTGGTGATGAGATGCGCCAGAGGCTAGAGCCCAATTTTGATGACCTGGCAAGACGCGCCGAACGTGGGAGAAGGTTGCCTGGCGCGACGGGCCACGGTGCTAAATGAATGTCTCAGAATCCCGACTGAAGACGTCGATCTCGGTCTACAAGAAGCCGCGACAGCTAGCGCTGGTGGGGCGTGCCACACGGGAACGTCCCAGATTTTCATTTGTTTGTCGTTTCCGGGTGAGAATTATTCGTGCCGTCCTGCGGTAAGCCTATGTGGTGTTTCGGATGTGCTGGATGCCAGCCAAGCGACTCTCGATTGGGGCATATCTTGCGATGAAGATGGAAAACCCAAGCTGCGAATTGGATCTTACCGTTACACAAGTGGCTTATTCAGGCCCTCATGCAAGTTATGTCGAGTTACCTGACATTTTGCCTCGTTCAGTCAATGCCTTCTGGCCTCTACGTCAAATCATTGCGAGTCGAAGGACATGGCATAGATTTGGGCAACAAGTGTCGGCTGTATGCTGTTGGACTGCACGCATGTTCAAAAGCTTTATCTTCCGATGCGACTTTCAATCGAGTCTACTCTGTATCCACCCATCAAAATCACGCTTCAGTATTCTCGGTGGTGTTCTGCTTGCCGCGCCCAGAGATCCTGTTCAAGAGTTTTGAAAACTGCCCCGTAACCGTCGCAATCCCAAAAGACCAACCCCGAATCCTGACAGTGTAGACAAAGAAGTATACCAGGGCCCAGTTGGCAACAGAAAAAGCAACCAAGATGCCAAACGCAGGCCACTTGTCGCTGATATGGACGTTGAGCGTCTGCATGTACTCACCGCCGTTGTTGTACGGGCAGTAGCCACAGTTGGATGTCACATTAGGGTTCTCGAGGTATCCCGTCATGGCAACCTCGTTCACGAAGCGGTCGGCATATTGGCCACATGTTGAGCCCGGAGGCGGATTGAACCTGGCGAATTCCGTGGAGCTGCACTGCACGACTGCGGGCGGAAGGACCGCTGAGAGTACGCCGCGGCTAAACCAGGTCGTTGGGTTGATGTAGTACATCCAGTACTTCCAGAACGAGGGCATGGAGGTGTAAGGCACCAGGATGCCGTTGAAGATGGCGATCATGACGAAGAAGAAGGGCAGAATCTGTTGATGTGAAAGTTAGGACAGGCCTAAGCATCGATAAGGTTGCGCTACTTACGTTTGACACCGTCGAGTACGATGGCCCGAAGGCGGAGATCCACTGGCCCCAGCTGGACTGGAAAAGAGACCAAACTAGAACCATGAGGTAGGTGTATCCAGAGACAGACGAAACAGCTGGGAAGCCGACGGGGAAGTACCACAACAGCCAGTAGATGGTGGCAGAGACGATAGCCATAGGGATCTCGCACACGACGTTGGCTGTACAGAATGCAACCCAGCCATAGGTGCGACTAGGCAGTTCGCGGTCTTCCCATAGATCCCGGTTCTGGAAGAACTTGATTACGACACTGTTGACGACGGTAGGAGGTACAAAAAAGATGAGAATGATGGCGCTGAACATGCGGTTCTGCATGCCTGCGATGTCGTTTCCGAGCATCCAAAATGTCTGCGAAGAAGTCAGTCCCTGACATTGAGCCTCGTTCAACGTGGTTGCCTGGACTTACAAATCCGTTGAAAATGCCCATGAGGGTATGCACAAACACTCTGCTATACATGTACTGCGGCTCTCTCCAATGCTGGACAAACATTCTCTTCGTGAGCAGGAGGCACTGGTATGAAGTCGAGGCCGCAAACTCCGTCTGCGCCGTCGACCTCTCCGGCGGAGCCCGTCTCTCAGCAGAGATCTGATCGATTTCAGCAACAATGGCTCTGTGCTCATCCGAGTTGCGCCACTCCTCGTTCCAGTCGATGCGCTTGCCGTCCTTGACTGACGGCTGGGACGCGGTCTCAAGGATGAACTCAGCGACGTTGCGGCTCGGGGGGCAGGAGAAGCCTCTCTGTGTGAAATAATCGATAACAGTTGAGCCGTTAGTGCCGACGGGGCCAAAGTAGAATGTGTTTCCGCCCCGGTTGAGGGCCAAAATCATGTCGAATTGCTCGATGAGGTCAGATGAGGGTTGGTGGATTGTGCAAATGATGGCTTGGCCTGCGTCGCATAGCTTTCGGAGGAATCGGACGATAGAGAATGCAGATTGGCTGTCGAGGCCACTTGTGGGCTCATCAAGGAAAAGCAAGAGACTGGGCTTGGCAGCTACTCGAACGTCAGCTAAGGTTCTTGGATGCAGGATTTCATCAACTGGCATGCTTACCCAATTCAACTCCAATTGTGACTCTTTTTCTCTGCTCCACTGTCAAGGAAGAAATGATGGCATGCTGCAAGTCACCCAGCTCGAGTAGGTGAATGATCCGATCCACGTACGCAATCTTCTCCTCGCGGGGGATTGTACGTTCTTGTCGAAGTAGCGCAGAGAACTCCAGTGCCTCCCGAATTGTGGCAGTGCCTTCATGAATGTCTCTCTGTTCGCAGAACCCAGTGCCTCTCTGAAACTCGGGACCCAAACTTGCTCCGTTGACGAACATGTCGCCCGTGACGATACCGGTCTTCTGTCTCTGTGCAATGGTGTTCAGAAGAGTTGTCTTGCCGGCACCTGAGCTGCCCATGAGAGCAATCATCTTCCCAGGCTTGGCATATCCGCAGACACCATTCAGCAGTTGTCGTTCGCCGTTACCATAGGTGACCGTGTATTTGATGTCCTTGAACGTGAAAGCACTTTGGCCGTCGCCGATGGGCTCGAACGTCTCTCCAGTCTCTTCGATAATAGGCCCGCTCTTCTCCTGACCCACCGTCTTCTCGTCTCGTGGTTTCGCGAAAATCAGAGATTGCGCTCCAGGTCCCTTGAAGCGGATCGTGTCAACGGCCAGGACAGTCATGGCGAGGAAGAAGACGGTGAAAGCAATCATAATGCCAAAGTTGCGCCACAGGTTCGCTCTCGAGCTATACATTGTCAGTATAATTTCTGGAAACTCAGCCTAGGGAGCTTACTATTGGAATGAGGCCTGCAAGTAGTCGGGCCCGCTAACGACCGTGCTGCCCATGATTGAACCGGGAAGACTGCAGCCTTGGTAATTAGGGTCAGAGCCTGGACCACGGGGCACAAGCTGCGACTCGCTACATTGCATCTCTCGTCCAAAGAACTCATTGGCTTGGATAGCTTCGAATCCGTAAGCAACGGGGTTGATGTAGTAGATCCAGCCGAACCAGATGGCGTCGCTCAGGAGATTTGGCTTTGGAATCACATATCCCGTCATGATAAACATAATGTTGAGGACTGACAATGGTACCTGAGTTAGAAATGTGTTCGAGACGGTTATTTTGTTCAATAGACTTACCAACGCCAACAAATCGGATAGAATCATCGACGGTAGACGATAAGGACGCGAACATCCGGTACATGGTCGTAAGGCAAAATGTAGCCGTGTACACGATGAGTGTATAGATCCAGAACTTGGAGGCATCCACGTCAAACTGCGCCAAGAAGTAGACCGGTATGGAAAACAAGAGCGTCATGATGAGTATCAGCGGGATGTCTAGGAGCATCCTCGCGATCACCACGGCAGACGGCCTGTAAAAGGCAAACACACGCTGCCTCTCAATCGTCGTTCTACCATCAATTGCAGGAACGAGTTCCGCAAATTGGAGCCATCCGATGAAGGCGATGGAGAAGAAGGCAACACCGCCCCTGGCGAAGACAGAAGAGGTGCCCTGTCCGGAGCCGTAGAAAAGTGACGAGACGATGAGACTGTTGGCGATGATGATGGCGAGCTTGGTGTAAAAGGAACTCCTGTCACCCCACAGAAGCCATGCCTGGCGCTTGGTACAAGCAGCTACCTGCTTGAAAAGCGAAACGGTGTAGATGGAATCTCCGATGACGGTCTTGCTCTTAGACTCCTTGACGGTGGCTGCGAACATGCGGTGCTTGTCGTTGTTTGCGGATCTGCTGCCTCGTTCGTAGTCTTCGACGTCTTGAAGAATGCGCTGGTAGTGCTGACTCTCCAGAAAAGCCCGTTCTAGCTCCTCGGGTGTTTTTGGGGCTGTATCCTCTCGGGCGGGCTGGAAGTGACGGGCGTTCTTGTCGGCGATAGAAGTCAGGAAGTCGGCAGTTGTTCTGGAAGAAAACTCCGTCAGTTTCTCGGTTTCTCGCTGAAAGATTTGTTGTCACTCACTGTCTAGGAGGGCAGAGGTATCCCAAGTCCTCGAAGTACTTTTTGGCCTCATCGCTTGGTCCCTGGAACAGCATGCGTCCATCGTCTATTACCAGAACCTTGTCCATCAACTCATAGATAGACTCTCCAGCTTGGTAGAGTGTCACGAGGGTCGTCCGCCCACTAACATCGGTGTAGACACGAAGTGACTTGGCGAAACTCAGAGCTGTGCTAGCATCCAGTCCTCGGGTTGAGTTGTCCCAGCAAACGACAGATGCTCGTGTGGCTAGCGTCTCAGCCAGACTCACGCGCTTTCGCTCTCCTCCAGAAACACCTGCAAAGGTCAGCCAAGCTTGCCTTCAGGGTGTGAAAGGTCTGAGCTACTCACCTCGGATGTGTTCGTCACCGACCAGCGTATTCTTAGTATGATCAATGCCGAACATTTGAAGCAGTGAGTCTAGAATCAGTGGAATCGTCCACTGTTCTCTTTTCCTCGTCTTAGTCTTCAAGGCGAACCACAGAGTCTGCCAGACAGTGAGAGACGGGAAATGCCGATCGTCCTCTTCACAGTACACGACTTCGCCTCGATACCGCTCCAGTTGGTCTTCTGCCGGAATGACGCCATAATAGACCTCTCCGTCGACCTTGGCGTACTCATCCCGATGGTTAGCAATAGCTTTGAGGAAAGTCGAACACCCGGAACCTGGTCGCCCGAGAACCAGCATAATCTCGCCATGTCGCACCGTTCCCGTCATATTTCTTATTAGGTCAACAGTTGGCTCTTTGTGAATCTTCAGCTTGGGGAAGATGCCGGTAACGAAGTGGTAAAGGTCCGGGCCAAATGTGTTGACAAGATCCCGGGGAAACGTCGTGACCTGCTTTGTCGAAGACTCGATGCCCTTTACCGTCAGGTTCTTGAAGGAAACACCCAGCCTCTTTGCTGGTCCGCCGCTAGGCGTGCGCATGTCCATGATGCCCCTTCTCAAAAATTCGGGCAAGTCGAACGTGTCCTCGCCTGATAGACTAGGTGCAATCGTCGAGTCGCTCTCCCCTCCGGCCTCCGCATGATTTTCTGAAGGCTTTCGTTGATATGCAGTAGAATGGCGGTGTTGAATCGTACTCAACTCCTTCTCGAGATCATGGTACTCCTCCAGCGCAGCGTTCACTGAGATTTCTCCTGCCGCGTTCTCTCCCCAACGGCCGTCCTCCTCTGGTCTCGCGACCCCCGCCATGGTCTTGTTGTTGTCGAAATGGGAAATGTGAAAGACAGGGGTATCTCTGCGAGTGCAAAAGTCTATCGGTCAACTTTATGACGTCGCGAGTCGATCAGGTAGGTCGGGTCGTGGGATTAGAGCATCTGGAAGAGATAGCGAATGCAAACATTCAACCGCAGCAATAGCAGAAGGCCTGGACATCTAGCTCAAGAGTGCTTGGACTTTACAAGCTGGCAGATAAATACAAATATCGAGGGCACCCTGTCTATTATGTCAAGTCTTTGAAGACCAAGTTAAGCTCCACAGGATGTAGCACACCCGCCGGCAACGCTGCCATTAGCGCCCTCAACATGCACTCCGCGGAGGAAAATTTGTAATCCGCGACGGTCCACCAGCATTAGCAGCAAGGGGTTTGAATCAGGATAGGGCATGCAGGGCTCACGGAAGGAGGGTGGTTATAACCTTTGTGGAGTAGATCAAATCTCATATGCTCCGTGGGAAGGATTCATGACCAACGCCGAGAGAGAGAAAGTCGATAGCACCCTTATTTCGGGAATGAGGAAACCCCACGCAAACTGTACGATGATGACATGCAAGCCCAACATTATTTTCCAGCCAACTGGGTCTTGCATGTGTTTCCGTGCCGGCAACTCATACAAGCGCCCATTATTAATCCCCATGAGGCCAAGCTTACATTTTTTCACCAAAGACGGAATCCAAATTCCTCTGGGGGTGGGGCCGGGGTTTCTTTCGACGTTCGCCGGAGCGTCTCTAGTGTGGTGGCGGATCCCGCTTCCAGTAGTGTACCACATGCAGTAAGATAGATATGCAGTTTGTGCCGATGTCTGAAGCACGACGCGGAGTTAAGAACGATGGCGTCTCCCATGACTCGATTAAATCTTTGACTCGGCCCTTGGCCGTTCAGATCTTCTTGTTCTCTGCCGTCTATTATAACTGTCATTTCCCCGATCCTGGTGTCTCACTACAAGAGTACGCATAGCCACTGTCGCGCCGCTTGATGTTAGTGAATGTTATCCAGACACCTCTGCTTACAGCTTCCAGAAGAATCTTAGTGATGGGTGATGACTGAATTTCCTGCTTCAAGTCGAGATGATTACATGTTAGCTTTTCTATGGTTTTATGAACAAAGTCCCAACGAACAGCCAAGTTCCAGAATCCTCCGCGGTCTGGACTAATAACCTCAACACGATCCACTTGACTGCAGCTTGCTGACGCGCCCCACATGTTGTGGTCCAAGCTGATCGACGTGCCGAGAACTCGTGTTGCCTGTGTCGCTGTCGCAGGGCAGCTGGCTGGCAACATCCGAAAATCCCACGCATATCTCGTATCTTAATAAGGAGGGTACAACGGCGAACTTGAGACTGTGCTGGACCTTCCTCAAGCGGTGTGCAGCAGAGCCTTGAAGTTGTAGGGTGTCACTGATTCTCGTCTGTATCTGCACATTTCCCTAGATTTCCTCGGACCTCGATTGAGTTCAGCAACCCCTCATTGCCACTTCAGCCAGAGTTTTTGAAACTGATGCCGATACTCCGCGCCTAGGTCGCCATTCCGGGACCTAGCTTGTGAAATCTCCGCTTCAAAGTGAAGTCTATGCCATTCACTACTACTAAGCGACTGCGACCAGCGCATACATCCATGCGATCGGGTAGCACAACAGAGAGTCGCTGTGACTCATTCAACTTTGGCTGCAGCAAAGGGAGGATCACAAACAAAATTGGCAAGTCACAACGCCGGGAACCCTGCTGACCTGGAGATAAGGGGGATGCGGTTAAGTTGCTAAAGTCCGGTAAGTCGGCCCCACTGTTCGGGAACAAGTCCGGAGCTGAACACGGCTGACGTTCGGCGGATCTCCGAGAAGTGAGCAGAACTTGTGCATGTGCCACGGCCTCCTCCCACTCGATGGAATGGTCCTACCGGAGGTCATTGTTGAACTCGATTCTCTTCACCCTTGGTCTAGAAATTGGCCGGAAGTCATCAGGTCGTTCCTGCATGCGCCTTTCACCCTATTCTCAGCCAAATACCTGATAAATGTTGAAATGGCCAAGGAAACTTCAATTTTCAACGCTGTTATTGACATCTGATTACATTCAGGGAGAATGCATTCCCAAAACATCCCCAATGTCTTCAGGAATAGGGAATTCCATCTCAGTAGGAACCAAGCCCAAGTCCACGAGTTCCTTATCGCCGACACCAGACCGTTCTTCCAAGACTTTTTTCAACTCACGCGCCCGGGCCGTAACATCTTCAATACCAACGATTCCTCCAGCAACCCAAGCTTCGCAGATGCCAGCAGGGATCCCGATCTGAATACTCCGGTACGGAAGCTTCTCCAACCGTACATCGCGTTCCGGGTCCCATTGGACGCGCACCCGCCCGTCGTCCTTGTCCAAATCGCCCCCGTGTGTTAAAACGCTTTGACGGAGAAGGTCGACGAAGCCGGTGTGGGTCATTTTGAGCGCCAAGATGCGCTCCTGGCCTCGGTCTTTGTATGAATAGCCTGCGCGATAGAGCATCCACGACCAGCTCGGCTTGACCCAGGTCATGCGGGTAAGCTTGAAGTTTGGAGACGCGTCGAGCTTCTGAGCTTTGACGGCTGCCTTTGCGATGGCGGAGTTGTAGGCTTGGTATACGGTGATGGTCTCATCGTCAAAATGGGCCCTAATCTGCCGGTAGGGTGTTGATGGCTCCGAGCCAGGAACCTTGGTTTGTCTCTGGATAGTTGAGGCCATCTTTCGAAGGACTTTCTCATGATCCTATCACATATGAATGATGTAGAGGACGTTAGAAATCGTCGCAGGTGTCGAGTGCGAGGGGCAGACCTCAGCTTTTCAGAGGTTCAGCTCGGGTTCAGCCACGACGCCACAAGGCAGAGGCTAGTGAGTCACGCCGAATCCAGAAAGCGTCGACATCGTCAGAATCCGTATTCTCGGAGTTGAACCTCAGTAGAATGAGCACAACTTGCAACACTTCATCTGTACGAGTCTATGCTCTGCTGCACGCGCTCGCCAACGCTCTCATCTGATGGCATCGAGTTCAGCGTTCGGTTAGCATACTTCTTATTCTTCGCAGGGTCCACCTCCTCGACAAAGATCCGAGTGACAGTCTCCATCTGAATGCCCTTGAGACCAGACACGTCCTTATCGTGCAGCGACGTCTGACTCTCACTGCGGTCGTGACTAGCTTCGGAGCCGAGCCTCGCGCGGCGCGAGGGTCTCCGGAACACGCTCGGCTTCCGGTGATGGGGGTCGTCTTTCGAAGCACCCCCCTCGATCCAGACTCTATGGCCGTACTGCTGGCCCAGGGGCGTGAAGTTGAACGTGTCCAGGCCGACGTTTTGCTCGTCGACGGGCGCATCAAAGAGGATGCCGCTTCGCGTGCTCGAGAAGATGAGGACGTCGATCCACCCGTTGGAGGTGATCATGCAACCGGCGAAGATGAGGTACTCTGCCGAGAGCTTGATGCCTCCGCTGCTGAGGATACGTCCCAGAGCCAGCGGCGCTGTGCATAGAAGGAAGACGATGGGGTAGAACAGGAAGAGGATGCGCTTGTGAACCTCTGTCTTTTGGTTGTGTTGTGACATGACGGTTGGTAGGGTTGAAGGACTTAGTACACCGTCACATGAGGCCTCTTCCGCCGCGGCAGCTGCCTTCCTTGCGCTTCGGAATGCCTTGTCTGCCCGGTGGACGTGGACGAAGACCAAGACATAGGATACGGTTCCCGTGATGATCAGAGTCAGCATCCAGGCGTAGTGCAAGTACATCCTCATAGCCTCGTACTCTGAGTTGATCCAACACTATTAAGGTTGAAGTAAGTACGTGATATGTAGGAGGCGCAAGATGGAGAGGGGATCCTACCCAGGTGATGTCGCGGACATAGAAACCGCCCTTCCCAGCTCCGTTATTGGTAATGATCACCCCGAGAACAGACATAAACAAAACAAAGAACCACAAAAGAAAGATAGTGCTGTAGAAGGCCTTGCATGAGATCTTAAAACCTCTGACAAGGGTGAGATAGGTGTGTACTGCGATGAACGCCACAAACGCGGTTGACGCCAGATCGCCCGTGGAGATGAACCACCCCTGAGTCCAGCACGCGGCCGAGTCGTCGGTGATCTTGTCTTCGACCAACCATACAATGTCGAGGAAAAAGGCGCAAGCCTGGAGGGCATCGGCGAAGAGAACGTTGAGGAGGAGGACAAGGAACTGGTTCGGGACTCTCGAGCGTTTCGACTGTCCGTTTGCGTTGTACTGGGCCTCGAGTTCGTGGGGTAGGCCGGCGATGACCGGAGTCTGTGTGGTAGTGGCTGGTAGTTGCTGTTCCTTCTTCGGGCTCGTCCTCCGATACCAACATGCGAGTCTGCCAATCAGGTACACGAGGAGTGTGAAAGAAGTGACGAGGGAGAAAAACGAGAGCGTAACGACGGCTTTGAGGCCATGTCGAAGAACCGTCGGAAGCGGCGAGAGAGTGTGTGTTCGTGTGTACATGGTTGCGGATGATTACCAGTTATTGGGATGAATATGAGATTATCATGACCGTCGTGCCTGCCGACTTTGCCCGTTGGATCCAAGTTGTTCCTCCGCCAAAAGACAAGCCAAAAAGAAAGGCTTTGATAGTCCGCTGGCCATCGTGAGATGTTCTTGGCTTGGCTCCGTTACTTGTACAAGCGACCGGTAAACGCTGGCACACCAATGTCCGGTGTTAGATGTCCGACGTCCGCGGGGTAACGTCTCCCTGGGGAGCCTTGAAGCCCAACGGGCGCAACGTTCTTAGCTCACGGGATGGCGTCCGGGAAGGCCAGGAGAACCATGCCTCTCTTCATCTGACAAGATGCCATATGGCAGCTCACCCCATGCCTGGTTTGGCTAAGCCTCTGCCGATGAGTGAGAACTCTAAAATCGGTCGACGAGTGAGGTTGCTCATGCCAAGACGAAGTTGACGAAGAGACCCTGCCAAGCTATAGAACAGTGTAGAGAACGCCGCACTTGGGGTCCAAAACGGCCAGGGATCCGGATCGTTCGGCGTTCGGCCGACCAGCCTAATTCGTCCATTTTTCCCCTTCTACCGAACTCATACCACCTATCCACAGTAACCACAGACGTCGGCATTGTGCCTGCAGACCAGCCCACCCATGCTTTCGTGCCGTGGGGCCCAAGGGGTAGAAAGAGCCTAAGAGATCGCCTCATGAAAGCTTCTCGGCGATGACAGGCCAAAAGAGAAGCTCATAAGGGGTGGCTCGGCGTCGCTTTCGGAATTTCGGTTGATATCGACAGAGTCTGTCGAGGACGAGGCTATTTCTCACAAACCCTTGAGATCTTCATCGCAGCGTACGGAACGTGGGCTAACATTACGGATAGGCTGAAAGAAAACGTCACCCCATGTCCACGGAGAAATTGGTCGTTCGCCTATGCGAAATATGCAGCCTCAGGTACGCAAGCGAACAGACAGCAGGCACGTGAGAAATAAGGTTTAATGAGTGGAGTTGACCGTTGCTCCAAACTCTAATAGAAGCACCAAGTGGTCCCCGATGGGCAAAAGGAGACAACGCGGATTTTTCAGGAATTTCAGGCTGGCTCGGTAGCATTCAACCGAGATTTGAAACCAGACCAAAAACATGCTCAAAGAGATTCAAAGCTCTGAGTAACCATCAAGGCTGGGCGGGAGGGCGGTGAGGCAAGCTCGACGGACTTTTTTTGATGCCGATTTTCCTTGCACTTGATTAGCATGGAGGCGTCTCTGTGGGCGCATACAAGTGCCATAAGCGCAACCGGCGGCTCTTCTAGAAAGAAGGGAGAGGAGACATTTCGCAAGGATTGTCACGTCATTTCCAAGAGCGTACTCCGTACGGACACATAAATGGCTGTGTAACCTTTGCTGGAGTCATGGCCTCGTACCCACGATGGGGAAATTCCCACAATGTGCCACAATGTCGGTAACGTACTTCCTTTCAAGCGCTCGGCTATCCGTGTTGTTGCGAGTCAGAAGGTATCATTGTAGGCGGCTGGGCGAGATCTTGTTTCTCGCGCGACGAAGTGCGAACTCGTGGCGAACAGGGTTGATCGCGTCTGGCGAAGATGAATTCAACGTAATGAGATCTATCGTTTGGTCTCGTAAAGACAACTCACCCGCTACTTTGCTGAGAATGCACTGATATTACTTTCCTTATTCAGAATTCCAAGAAAACCTTCTCGATTGTTGTATTGCAAAGATGATTGACGTGCAATGAGCCCAGCATGCTGGAGTTCGTCTCCGGGAGAACGGCTTGCGCGACCTGCTTCCAGCTAGGCTCGAAAGTGTAAGAGATGTCAGTGAAATCGTACCATCATTGTGCCTTTTAATTCAACTATTTTGGTTCGCAGTGGTAGAAGCCCGCGGGCGCCCGCGCGCTTAATGGACCGCTGTCTCGCTTGTTATTCCATCGGCATGGAAGTCTCGGGGGATTTGACAATATTAGCGTCCGTCGGCGACACCGTCCAGCCCCGTGGTGGAATTGAATCTGTATCCGATTTGGGACTCGCAACAATCTCTCTCGCTTTCATCGGACTCGGCCGGGTGAGTTATGTACGATGTATGAACCACAATGTCGGCGATCTTATTACAGCAATGCCCTTGCCAGATGCCGTATGGGGCTGTACTGCGTATGCCATTCCTAAGGCTCTGGGTAAGTGGCTGGATATCCGGGATAAATCCTGCATAGAACCCGCAATCGAGCAGAAATTTACCCAGCACTTCCTCGAACACGGGGTTTGCGGAGTGTCTTGATCCACCTAAGACGTGAAAACCTGTTCCATTTGTACTCTAATAAAGTTCTCACTTGATGGCTTGCGTGTCCGCCCAGAAGAACAAGGGTGCACTGACCAGCCACCTCCTTAGTGGAGCATTATTGTCTCTTGTCTCGTAAATCTGAAAGTAGATGTTAGCTTTGAAAGGCAAAGTGAAACATAAAAACATATACGAGCGGGAGGCCGCGATTGCGCGGCAATTCAGAAACGAGCTTGAGATACGAACCTATCAATGGCCGATGAGGCGGAAGGCCAAGCCAGAAAGCTAGATAGATCGCTGCGGTCTTCTAACGCTCTTTTCTCTATTCCGCTATCACCATTGTGTGTGGGAGAAAAATGATATCGTGAAGCTATAATTGTCGCCAAGACCATCAGTCAGCAACTCGCGACTGAGGTAGAGTGCAGTCTTGAATAGGAGTCGCAGCCCCCAGACTGTCGGGCAAAATGCATCTACAAAACATCATGAACGCCGCGTGACCCTCCAAGTTGAGGGTTCTAGACCAAAACGTCTCCACCAAACCGACAAACAAGGAGTATTTGAATGAAGATCTCTGACGTTGTGGGTAACAATGCTCCAAAAGCCGTTTTCCAAGGCCCACGTACAGCGGGCGTACCGCCTGAGTGCTTGGAGATGAACTCCAACCCCTGATATATCGATAGTCTGTCCACAGCCTAGCGGGTGATCGTCGCCTTCAATCCGAGATGGATCCATGGCCGTTTCAAGGTCGTGATAACTTTATGCCAAGAAGTCGATGAACACCCAACGCCACTTCAGTCCACAATATCTGTTTGCATACCACATAGTGTACTCAGATCAGTGCTTGTAAATGCATTGGTGCCCGACGACTGCAACGATGGAAGACTACTCCGAATAACGAAACCGATATGATCATGCGATGTTCGCCAATTACGACAATTGTCTCAGATCTCTATCTGATTGATAAGCTAAA